TCTCTTCCTACTCGTAGAAAGGGAAGTTAAAAAAAGCGAGGTGCCTGATGAGGAAAGCAGGAGATAGAAAATCCTCTGTCCTGAAAATATCTTTCACATATCCTAACAATTCCCCAGAAAAATTTGTGGTTTAATGATCCTAAAAAACGTAAATAATTTATGGGAAGACTTAACTTATGATGTCTTGTATTATTACATCCACAAATAATGAAGTCTTTGTTAATAAACAAATTATGATTAACCAGGACCCAAAAATACACAAATATAAAGCAAAGGTGGTAAGATACTAGGACTTATTTCACGGGAGGATAGGGGCTAGAGAAAGTATTATCAGACTTGGGGAAAATTTCCAACATTTCAAGGAAGAGGTGAGTCTTGAAGGATGGCTGTGGAATCCCAAAGAAGTTGATGGAAAACATATGAAGAGCACGTCTGGGGAACACGCCCAGGTTGGATGAAGCACTATGTATATGACAGAGAATAGGTGAAGATACAGTTGAAAAGACAGAATGAGTAAACATGATAAGAAGTTGTAACTGTCAGTAATGACAATATTATTATAAGAAATAACAGTATGAATATACAGAATCTGAACAAATGACTAGTATTAAGCAGACAAAAGGAAATGCCATAATCACAATTATACTTCTGTAAATAAGAACTAAGTATCCGTAATGTCTTAGTGATATAAAGTTGAATAAGAACAGTAGCTTTTGACCTTTTAGGAGGTGTGCCAGTCCTGGTTCTGTTTGCCTTTGAATCTATTCTTCCTCCTTCTCCTATTCTGCACTGTATGACAGGAAACCTGACCCTACACAGGCAATGTTTCCTAGGCTCCATGTCACCTGGCTACTTGCTGGGTATAATAAGTGGGAACTACCCATGTTAAGATTGAAGGGCAGTTGGAAACCACACTTTTTTTCCCCCCTCCCATTCCTTTTCTGCCTTGCTGGAGATTCACTATGACTACTGCTCCCTTACCAGACAATCTACTTTCCATCTTCCACATAGTGAACGCAGCCTCTGAATTGCCTCATCACTCCTTGTTCTCAACATCTCAGTGGCTTTCAGCTGTCAATGCTACTCTCTGAGTTGGCTCACTTAAGCTGCTGTTCTTAGCTTACCTATCACCAGTGTAACCAATTCCCTCATTTAATCCCTTCATGTTAAATACTCAGATTGGTTTCAATTTTCCTAAAGGGATGCTGACTCATAGAGAAAAGAACAAGCCTATTTAGGAACTTAAAACACTCCACTTGCACATAAACCTTTACAGACAGTTTTAGGGGATCCCAGAACCCTTGAAGCCTGTCCATTAATCCCAGATTAAAAGCAGTGAATATTACAAAAAGAGAAATTTCTAGAAAAAAAGTTGGTTGCACAACAATGTGAATATAAATAATGCCACACAGCTGTACACCTTAGAAATCACTAAAATAGTTAAAATTTGCATATGTTAAAAAAAGGTATGTAAACACCCAGCTACAATAAAACATGGTAAGGGTGTAACAGAAATAATGTACAATTCTGTGGGAACATTTAAGAAGAATGTACTAACTATACCTGCTGGAAGAGGTTTCAGAGATTACATTTGACCTGAACCATAAATGTAAGAATACTAGGAAGACAGGGTGAAAAACACTGCAGGCAAAGGGAAGAGAAGGTAAAGTGTAAATTGGTTAAACTGCAAGTAGTTTGGTATGCCTGAAGCACAGGGCAGATGTTGAGAAGTTGAGATAAAGCAAGGTAATTCCACAGAGCACTTTGAATGACATACTGATAAAAACCAAACTGGTGATCCAGAAGCAATAAACAACATTGACATATTTTGGCTTGTGCAATATTTAAAGAAATTCCAACAAGGTAACAGCTGGCTGTAGCTGAGTAGGAACAGCTATTTAAGTGTAGCGAGGTACAAAAGTCAGTGCAGTATTTTGAACAAAAAGTAGGTAAGGAAGTAGAGCAACTAAGTAGAATTTATTGTTCTTTGAGTAAATTTGACTTGTGAAAGGGTGACAGATTATTAGCCAGAATGTGAGGTGGGGTGTAGGAGTATTTAGTTTGCGTGCATATGTAAGGGTAAAAATCTTAATTATGTGAACCCCACGAGGAGAAATTCTCTATTAGCAGTTGGCAGTGTCTGGAACATACCAGACACCCAAAGATTTGCTGAAAGAACATTATGAAGAAAAGGAGTCAAAAAAGATGGGCTGAATATGGGGAGTACTTGCATGAGAAGAATCATGAGTGAATAATAAAAAGTTAATATTTTAAGCCACTGAGTTTTATAATTGTAGATATTTATGTGCTGATACAAGCTTCAAGATATGTAATACTAAATGAAAAAAGCAAGAGCAGTTGAGCATGGGGAGATTTATTAGATATTCTTTTGCACAACTTGAAATTTGTGTTACGTGCTAACTTTCAACTTTAAGAATATGAGGTGTAGTGTGAATGCTGTAGGCAGATTGTTTTATAACAGTAAATAAGGTGAACTGCAAGATTATCTGAGAAGCAATGACAAAGTCCAAAAGAGAAGTAATGGGAGACATATTGCTAAGATACGTGGCAATCAAAATGGAATGTCAATGTCAAAAAACTAGTTTAGGATAAGAAACAATGGTTGGAGTTTCTACTGATGGTTAAAATAAAGTAGGAAGCAGAGTAGCTGGTTTGTGTGGAAGACAGACACACAAGCTGGTGTGAATTGTTCCAGTTAGAAAATTATATTGCTTTTTTAAGACCAGTAGTTCTTAACTGAGAGTGATTTTGTCCTCTAGGGAAAACACTAGCAACATTTTTTGTTGTCACAACTGGATGGGGGTGGGGAGTGGAGTGCTAAAGGATAGAGGCCCACGATGTTGCTAAACATCCCACAATGCACAGGACAGTTCCCCATAAGTAATTATCTGGCCCAAAACATCAACAGTACCAAGGATGAACCCTGGCTGGTGTGGCTCAGTGGCCTGTGAACTGAAAGGTCACCAGTTCGATTCCTAGTCAGGGCACATGCCTGGGTTGTGGGCCAGGTCCCTGACTGGGGGCATTCGAAGGGCAGCCAACTCACGTTGCTCTCCTTCTTCCTCCCTCCCCTCCCCTCTCTCTGAAAATAAATAAAATCTTAAAAAACAAACAAACAAAAAACCCCCAAAAACCAGTGCCAAGGATGAGAAACCCTGCTGAGGACTGTGGTTACTGAAGCACATCTGGATTACCAAACAGCCAAAACTCAAAAATTCTTAAGCAAACACTGCATGGAGGGAAACTATGAAGTACGTCAATGGTATCATGAACGCTGTGACAGTCTACTTTGGATTGCTTTACATGTAAGCCTAATAAGTATAACAATTACAAGATATCTTTTTCTCAGATACAGATTCAGGTTAATTGTACTCAATTCTGATAAAGTGGGCTAACGATGAGCCAAACATTAACAAAATATTAGCTTAAACTTAAGCCATTAACTTAGTTCCCGGAAAACGTATGATGGAACCACTACCCTCTAATATTTCCTGCAAAATGTGTCTATCAAAAGCCTGTGCACAATCATCATTTCTTTGGACAGGGCTGGGTATTGCAAAAAGAAATAAGACAATGGATTTTTCTAACAATAGTAATGACTGCAGACACTGTGGGAAGTTTCAACAGAGATGTTTACCATTTACTTTCAGGGATGTCACATATGATGCCTGTAAGTCATTTGCTCCAATTTTGACTTTCATGTGGCTCTCGCTCCCAGCAATTATATCCTCACTCTTTCAGCGTACAAACAATAGCAAAACCTGTTTTCCACACAGACAATACACCTTGACAACTGGCCCGAGGAACTAAGCCTCCACAAACTGAGGAAAAACTAACCAGAACTAGGAAAGTCAAGTCAAAGTCATTTCCCATGTGAAGTTTTCCGCTCATCAAAAAAACAACCCCCCCCCCCCAAAACCTGGAATTGCTGCTGTTTTAAAATATACAACTGGCATTTCAAACCTCTACACTGCAGGGCTTTCTGCAGTGGGTGGAGAGGGAAGAACACACCATGCGCCCCAAATTCGTAGTTCTGAAAGCGAGTTATCAAAAGGGCGTCAGGAAGGTCTTTCCACAAAGCTAGATGCCTGGGGAAGTCCTCATTTTTCCTATTCTGGCCCCAGCCCTCACAAGGGAAAGTGCACCCAAGGTTGAAAAACACGCAGTCCCTCCGTCACGTAGACAACACTCCCTCAAAGGTCCCAATTAAGTGTGCAGGCCTGGCTTGCCCTCCAAACCCGGGCCTCAGGTGTCCCACCCGAGCTTTTCCTCAGCTCTCCCCCCACTCCCCGCCTCGGAGCCTCTGAGGAGACCATCCACACACAAAAAGACTTAGCTGCCCGAGCTTCGGGTTTAAGAAGAGTCACCGCCAGGCTGAAGTTGTCGACGGGGAAGCAAACCCCCAAAGCTTCCCCACCCTCGGAAAAACCTTTGGCCCCAAAGGTCCTTCCGCTCAGCTTAGTTGGTCCAATATTCCTCCCTCCCGCGTTCGAGCTTACCCAATACCAGCCGGGCTACATCCGAAGGTAACAACATAATCGAAGCCGCAAATAGAATCGCTATAGGGGACAAGGCTCCCGCAAAAGCCAACACAGCGGCAGCTACTGTGCCGCATCTCCCGGTTCCAGTGGCGGCACTGAACCCGCGGCAATTCGTCCCGCCTCTTTCGCTTCACGCCAGCCAATCGCTTCCGCGGGAGAAAGAAAGGCGCCGAAATGAAACCCGCCTCCGTTCTCCTCGAAACTGTCGTCATTTCCTTCTTCATATTTGCTGGAGTAAGGTTGAAGGGGGCGAGGAGGTGGGGTGGAAGCCCAGGAGACGGAGGCAGAGAGCGAGCAGCAAACGCACGGGCGCTCGCCATTGGTGGGCAAGGCGCAGGCGCGTGGCCTTAGACTGCCCAGTGTTTTGGGGGAGCGAGGCCTTGGAGCGGAGATCCGGGGAAGATGACGCGCATGGGCAGACGGTGCGGGGGTAGGGGGGCGGGTGCAGGAGGCGCCGCTCAGCCTTATTTCTTCCTGTGGAGCCGGGCGCTGCGGGATCGCGCCAGGTTTGAACCGGAAGCAAGAATAGTGCGTGGATACTGTGCAGGAGCTGTTGGCGGCCGCGGGCTGAGGAGACTGGAGCGGCGATTTGGGCTGCAACCTCTGTCCTTTCAAGAGATTGCACTTCTGCAGTCGGAGTTCCGCGGTAAGGACGCGGAAGCCATGCTCTCGGGAAATCCAGTAGTTTCCGAGCCTCTCGGCCCAGCCTTCAGACATCCAGTCTCGGGACTCCTCTAGAGCGGCCCTCACTCCTCTTGACACCTCGTCTTTCGCGGACTCCAGTTCTCTTCGTTCACTCCGGCCCTTGCCCAGCCCCCTAGCTAATTTAGCCACGAGCCTTATTCTAAAGGCCCTCAACTGAGCCCTCCTGCGCGTCCACAGTTTACTAGATAACTAATATCTACTTTCCCCTTCTCATAATTAATCAGCGAGCATCCGTTGACGTTTAAACTACTGTCGCGTGGTTAAGATCGTGGGCTCTGGAATCACACTGCAGGTGTTCAGATTCTCGCTGTTGTCTGTGTGACCTGGCTGTACTATCTTGTGGTAATCCTTTCCTGTGGTGCGCGTTCAAAAGCGTTCGCTGCTGTTTTTACCAGGCACAGATTAAGTAAAAAGACTGTTAAAAGTTCAGGTGATAAGAATACTGTGATGATAGAGGGGTCAATGAGGTTCTGTGGAAAGAGCCCGGGAGAATCAATTCAGTTTGTACTGAGACCTCACAATGTTAAATTGCCTTGGAGGGTGGTAGGATCCTTCTGCAGAGAAGACAAAATGTGTAAAGGCACAAAGTGTAGAAGGTTCCTGAAACTCGAAAGTGAGCTTTGGTATTGAGTGAAATAAATTTGGGCATTTTCAACATACGGAAGTCATAGGAATGGATGAAATCACAGTGGGAGAACATAGAATGAGAAGTAAGGAGACAAGGATATTCTTACAGTTTTGGGTGGAAGAAGCATTAAACTTATGAAACGGAAAAGAAGTGTGAGTAGTGATTACGGCTAATGATAATTTATTGAGCATTTCTTATGTTCCATACACTATTAAACATGTATGTGAATCTTTACAATACCTATTTGAGATAGGTGCTAGTATTATTTTTAATTTTATCATTGAGAAGACTGCGGTTAAGAAAGATTAGCTAACTTTCCCTAGGTTATACAACAAATAGCAGCATCAGTACAATCTGAGTACACAGCCCCGCACTCTTACCATTAGAAAAGAACGGCATGCCAAGGGCAGACCTACATTCAGAAAGATGGGATTTGGCATCGTTGTCAAATTCTGCGAAGGAATCGCCATTGTAATGACCAATTCAGAGGCTATTACTTAAAAAATATGAATATTTAGTTGCATCTTGAGAGTGTAACCTAGATCGTTCTGAATTAAGGCATTAGTTGAATTCAGCTTTAACTAGTGACACTGTTAACTCTAGCTGACTACTCTCTAGTTCTTTTGGTTTTTAGTTCCTCCAACATACCATGTGCTCGTCCTTCTTAGGACCCCTTAGGCTATGCTAGTCTTCTTCCCTAAAATATTCTTCAACTCTTTCTATGTTTTGCACTGGTTCATTCAGATCTTGGCTTTATTGTAACCTGCTCTGAGATGTGCTCCCTAACAGTTTATCAAAAATAATCCTTTCTATTATTGCATATTTGTTTCCTTTGAGTCATATATCACAATTTGCATTGATTTATCCATGAACTTGTTTGTTGTCACTCTGTCCTACTAGTTATGACTCCACAAATGTACGATTTGTGTCTGTTTGGTTCATTATAAGTCTAGACCCCCCTAACATAGTACCTTGAACACAGCAGTTGCCCAGTAAATATTGTTGCATGTATCGGTGAATGACCACCTCCTTTTTATATATGTAGTACTGAAATGTTTTGTTTTCTTGAAAGTAATTGATCTTTGAAAAATGGAAGGGGAGAAAAACAAGTTCAGAAAAGCCACAGGCTAAAAAAGTTTAGAGTTGCCTCTTCCTGGAAGTGTCACGTGTATAGTAAACATGCATTTTTTTCACATTATAAATAACATCTTCAGTGTATTTAGGAGTAAAGGTGCCTACTTTTATGGTTCTTTGACTATTGCTAAGGTGTTTTATTTTCCTTGTTGATTCAATCACAAGGACTTTAAACTAAGATTGAGCAAAAAGGGGGAAGAGTCCTAGATAAAACTTTTAGGGATGGAAAAATAAATACGAGAGCTCTGTTTTGAAGAAGTATACAATCAAATGAAAAAGACTACCAAGTAAATAACATCTTGTTACCCACAGTAGAGAAAAGGAGGTGTGATAAGGATGAAGGGGTCAGAACAACCAATGAATACAGGTGGAGAAGAATTCGAGCTGTCAGTGAATTAGGTAGTCTTATTAGGTAGTTTGCTTTTATTGCGAGTGTTTAAAGAATGGGCAATAGTTTTTTAGAAGGGATTTCTTTCCTTTTAGGAAGATTGGGTGTGGTCTCTTACTTCCTCCCACTTTTAAGATTTTGTGAGATTAAACATGGGCAGAGAAACATACATAGCATATATAGATGGATGGGAAAAAAGATTTTTCCCATTTTTTTTCATCTTGAGATATATGTATGTGTAGATATCATGGACATAAGTGTATATATATTTCTTTGTTTATTAACATTGTATAACAAATGAAGATTTAAAACATTATTTTAGATTTTATTATTTTTAGAGAGCGGGCAAGGGAGGGAGAAAGAGTGGTAAAGAAACATCCATGTGTGAGAAATACATAGATGATCTGTTGCCTCTCGCATGCCCCCAGTTGGGGACCCAGCCCGTAACCCAGGCATTGTGCCCGAACTGGGGAATCGCAGTCACCTTTGGGTTCTCAGGCCAGTACTCAGTCCACTGAGCCACACCAGCCAGGGCTGAAGCTTCTTTATAAAAAGGTTCAGAAATACTAAAATACTTTTCTTATATAAGATTTTTTAAAAGATTACCAAAGGAAGATTTGATTATATCAGAAAATCTAAATGGAGGAGGGCTACTGCGATGGCATTAAGGCACAGTAAAATATAGTTGACCTTTGACATTTGTAAGTGATATTGTAGCATACAATTTCCTTTCAGAATAGGACTGTCATTTTCCTTCTGTTTTTATGTATTAAAAGAGAACCATAAAACCAGTTATGATGAAAGCTCTAGGCAAGGCTTAATAACTGATAACCTCCTGCATATCAATTCCAAAACAAGCATTTTAAGCTTCTGGCACAGCTCTGTAAGTCATTACGTATAGAAAGGTTGCTTTTAAATAGTTCAGATGGTCACTGTTAAATCCATAAGTGCTCTTTTCCTTATTCTTTGCCTGGCTCTCTTCCATTCATTTCTGTATTTCAGCTTAAACATCATGCTTCTTAGCAGAGGTCCCAGAACAATAAAGTAAATTACACGTTTCCTATTTTTATCTAGCTGCTGCACACAAAGTACACATTTGCATGATGAAGCTTTGTTGTGACATACACTAAGAAAACCTCATTTAATTATGGAAATGTTAAGAAAAACCATTGTTCCTTTGATCACAGTATGCCTCTAGTTGTACAGTTAGATCTAACTATATACTATTAACCGCAGTCTGAAATAATTTAACATATGTATTGTTTTTACAGGGAATGATGTGTTTGCTGAAAATCTGAACCATGAGTCTAGCACTTGATGATCTGCTTATTTGCTGCCGTCAACTAGGACATGATAAAGCCACAGAACGAAGGGTAGTAAATTACTTAAATGTAATCTTTCCTTGAAGTCAGTGTGTGATTAATAACTCATTGTTACGTTCTTTTTTTCATTTGCAGAAAGAGGTTGAGAACTTTAAGCGTCTGATTCGGAATCCTGAAACCATTCAACATTTAGATCGGCATTCAGATTCCAAACAAGGGAAATACTTGAATTGGGATGCTGTTTTTAGGTATTCTATTCTAATTGTTTTTACTGTATTTTTTTTTTCATTTTTATTTCTGTTGTGTTTTTTTTGTTGTTGTTTATTTAGGTCTTACTTATCATCGTCTCCTATATCACATTGTGCCTTGTGTATGATGTTGGTGCTTAATACCTATCTGAAACATAGTTTTTAAAAGATGTTTATGTGTAGACAAAGTTAATTTTAAATTGTTCAGTAAAATGTCTTAGATGTATCTCACTCAAGATTAGATAGAATTCCTTTCATATCATTTAGTTCATAAGACTGAATTGTAAATTAGAGAATAAAGTTAAGTTACAGAAAGTGCTTTATTACTACTTTGACATTTTGTTTTTTTAATCCTTACCCAAGGATATGTTTATTGATTTTTGAGAAAGAGGAAGGTGAGGGGAGAGAGAGAAACATGGATGTCAGAGAGAAACATTGGTCAGTTGCCTCCCATATGCTCCTTGACCAGAGATCAAACCCGCAACCTCTTTTTTTTTTTTTGGTGTATGGGATGATGCTCCAACGAACTGAGCCACCCGGGCAGGGCCTGACATTTTTAAATATTATTTTAAGTAACCGCCAGGCGTTAAATTATAATACAAAAGTAAAAGGAATTTTAGAATAATTCTATATGAATGCAGTTACAGAAAAAAAAATTCAGGTATTGGAAAGATGCAGTTGGTTGTTGGACTGATGTGACAAACAGAATTAATGCATTTTTACATTAACACAGTTTTCAACTGGTAAGTCCATTCATAACTAGAAATATGTTGTAAGACTTAGGAAAGACAAATAAGATTTTAAAGTAGAATACTGAGACACTTGGAATATGTGTAGTCAAGAGGAAGTATGAGTATTTACTTGTTTTTCAGTTTTTGGAACAGATAATCTATTTTTACCTCTTACTTGGTATTAGATTGACTATTACAGATTTCAATGTGGATAACATGAAAAATGCATGCCATTTTTTTTTTACTTAGTTTATTTCAGATACCACAAATAGTTATTATCTAAAGGTGAATAGTCCTTTGCATAAGCTAACAGGTAGGCCAGATATGCACCTGCACTCCCAAGTAATCATGAATATTTTATAAGCAGGCTTTATTTAAATGCTACAAACATTTCCAGCTGCCTAGGAAAGAGATAGGTCATGCATGGAATAATAGGAATAGGTGACAGAGAATTGAGAGCCCTTAATAGTAGTGCAATCGTTTAATGATAAAATGAGAAAGCAAGAAGTAAAACAATAGAAATCAAAGGTTAGGAGCTTTGCAGAACAGACTCTAAATTGGTATTGGGGGGCCCTGAATGAGATATTTGTTTCATTTAGTTGGTACATTGATTGAAGCAGAATGGTTTAGAAGATGCTCTCTATAATAGCATGAAGGATTTTTGAAGCTATTATAATAATTTAAGCATTTAATGAGTTTCTGAAGTCCCATTTTATTTTTTTGAAGATTTTTACAGAAATATATTCAGAAAGAAACAGAATGTCTCAAAACAGCAAGATCAAATGTGTCTGCCTCAACACAAACCACCAGGCAGAAAAAAATGCAAGAAATCAGTAGCTTGCTCAAATACTTCATCAAATGTGCAAATAACAGTAAGTGCTATGTTATTTATTATATATAATTGGCTTAATAGTTAATTGTTGTATGAGTTGGGTCTGAATATGATGAGATAAAAGTTGAGTGCTAATTCTAACTTCTAATACATAAGTAATGATTTTTAATATTATTGGTTCAAATATTTGGAAGAATTTATGTAAGCATGGAATGATATAATCTCAGGATTAAAAGGATTAAAATTATTATTTCAACATCTATCTTCTTGGATCGCTTCTTTGTGTCCTTAGTACTTAGGTAGCCATATGGTTAAACGTACCTTTTGAGGCTTTCTATCTTTAATAGAAGCTTTAATAGTAGTGAAAAGTTGTCTCCTTTTGTTCTTGTTTCTGCCTTCTGAGATGATACAGAAAAATTCTAATCGATTTTTTCAATGTGACTTTCTTTACGATATTTGAACTTAGTCATGGTATTTCCCTTAAGTCCCCTTTTCTGTGCTAAACAGACCTACTTCCTTCAGTTCATGTGTCACTCTCTTAATACTCTTCAGTTTGATTCTACCTCTCAAAGCATGGGACTCAGTCTTGTAGGTATCTTCTGATTGGTACAGAATGGAGAAGGACTTGACATCTTTTGTTGTGTACTTTTACTAATTAATTCTAAGATCATATTAGCTTCCTTGGTAATCAAGGCCCATATTCTTAACTAACACTGCTTACTATTGACTTTTTAAAAATTCCAGAAACATTGTATTTTTGCTCCTGATGAGCATATCTCATATTCACATATCTCCCATTCAACTTGAAGAGTTGATGTTTTTGAAGCAAAATGCAGGATCTTAGTAGTCTTATGTGTAAAGACATGAGCTTCACACAATGCTAAAAAAATTTGAATCAGGAATGTCTGTTAAAGGACTCTTGAGGTCAGACTTTGTTTCCTTTTCACAGCTAAGGACTTGGCTTTGTGATATCAACTTTAGTTAAAGCATCAGAAAAGATGCATTGGTTTCTTCTTCCTTACTTTGTACTTTTTCCCAGTCCAGTGGAACCAGAGGTTTTCTTTTCCACATAGTCTATCCATCAACAGATACCTGGTGTCATCTTTAAAAAGCTTGGTAAAAAGTTTAACTACATCATATCCAGTTGATTTAGCTCATTCCTTTGTGGAAATGCATTTAATGTTACCATCTTCATTCAAAATTTCAACCTTACATATTTATGTGCCATAAATACTGTTACAGGTCTTGGAAGTAATTTTGCTCTTCAGAATAAATATTCTCCTGATAATCTCGTTATTCTAATAAATTTATTTTCTTATAAAAAGTACCAAGAAACTATGGGTTTTTTTAGGTCTAATTCTAGAAATAGTGAATTATTTATGATAGAATGATTGTTCTGCTATGTGAGAATATATTTCTATAGGAACTGGTAAAATCTTTTTGTAAAGGGACCAGATAGTAAATGTTTTTGAGTTTGTAGGCTACATAGTCTGTATCTCTACTACTGGGCTCTGGTGTTTTCGTCTGAAAGTAGCCATAGACAACACATGAATGAATGGACATGGCAGTGGTCCACTAAAACTTTATTTCCAAAAGCAGGTAGCTCGAAGAATTTTGTCTGTGGGTCATTCTATATGAGAAGGAAATTAGTTAACAGTAATTTCCCAAAAGGAATTATTTATATAGCTGTCATTCTAAAGTCCTTAACTAACTTATATGAAGATTTATATGTTTTTATTTACTTGTTATTTATTTTATTTTTAAATAGGAGCACCCAGGCTAAAATGTCAAGAACTCTTGAATTATATCATGGATACAGTGAAAGATTCATCTAATGGTGCCATTTATGGAGCTGATTGTAGCAATATACTACTCAAGGACATTCTTTCAGTGAGAAAATACTGGTGTGAAATATCTCAGCAGCAGTGGCTAGGTATGTTTTTAAATTTGTTCATAGTAAATTTTTCCTTGTGAAATGATATTTCAGCAAAAGTGTAGTCAGTTTTTTTCTGTATCCCTAAATGACCTCACAGTTTAACAGTACTTTAGTAAAATTATATGGTTACAGAATCTGATCCTAAGTTTTCATTTTTTTATGTGCTTCCTAAATTATTTTCACTGACAGTATATTAGGTGCCTGCTATCAGAACTGGAATTACAGAATTGAAGGATGCCATCCCCTCTCTGCAAGGATTTGATAGTCCAGTGGCAGAAAAAAACCAAGTAAACCAATATTATGATGCAACATGATATAAACATGTTTGATTGCAGTGAATTCATATATCAATAACACCTAAACTCAACCCTGGTTAAAATAGAATGAAGAAAACCAAGAGAGAGATACGGCATAAAAGTGAAAGCAAAAGAGTTTCCAAGTTGAAAGGGGTCAGACATTTTCAGTATTGTAGAAGTGGTGAGACATAAAAGTATCCATTGGACTAGGCACTTAGCAGGCCACTGATAATGTAATGGAAATCAAAAGTATTAGCATAGGATATGTAGGACACAGGGGTTTCTATATATGACCTATATGATATAGGGCCCAGTGACTTAAAACATTAGGTAGAGTGGGTACCAGGGAGGAATCTAGTGTTGTTCAAAAATTTGTAGGTGAGAAGTTCTGAGATATCACAAATGAAGAAAGTTATGGTCAGAGACTGAAAGATTTGAATTTATTTCGAAGGTAGGACATTTCTGAGTCTGAATGGCTTTAATGGGTACCAGGAAGTAATTTATTATTGTTGACAATTTGTTAGGTGAGAGGTATGGCATGACTACAAAGGAAGGAAGTTATGGTCAGAGGTTTAAACATTTGATTTATTAAAGGCGGGAGCATTTCAGGGTCTGAATGGTTTAATGGGTAAATATGGAATATGGTATAATGGGGTAACTTTAAGCCAGATGTCAAAGTCTTCTAATACTACCACCTTTAAAAATTTAGAAACTCAGTGTTTTTACTGAAAAATATTCAAGATAAATTTTTCTAACAAAATTAAAAGCCATTTATATCCTTGACTGTCAGTTTATCATTTTAAAGTGAGAAATATGTGGACCATAAAACCATGACCTAATCAGTGCCATGCATTATATTGTACTGTTCCCACATGAATAAAGGCCGTCTTAGCTGTTGCATTAATTTCTAAGGCATCATCTGAGTCTTGCTGTTGCTCTGAACACAGGGAGGCTTTATCCCAAACAGCCCTCAGCAAACCTAGTGGCAGCCATTGGAGAATAGGCCAGTGAAATCTAGGATACCCTGACAAGTCTCTCACCAAGTGTTACACCCTGAGTATTTAGTATATTTGCAGATTTTAGATTGTTATTTGTAACCATGGGTCTCACTAAATAAAAAAGGTAGCCCTTTAGTTTCTTTACTGTGATTTCATCATTTGGCATGTTCTCAGAAATCCTTTTTATTTTATTTTTATATTTTTAAACCTTCACCCAAGGGTATGTTTGATTTTACAGAGGGTGGTGTAGGGGGAGAGAGAAACATTGTGAGAGAGAAACATTGACCTAACGTGCCCTGACCAGGGATCCAGCCTGCAACCTAGGTATGTTCCCTGACTGGGGATCAGACCAACAACCTTTTGGTGTGCAGGGTGATACTCCAACCAACTGAGCCACCTGGCCAGGGCAATCCTTTTTATTTTTAAGCAAACTACCACCACTTTAATAATAAGCCCTTTTGTTGAATTACTTCTCTAGTTAGCTCCCTTCTCTAAAACTTGCTTCTTAATGAGAACTCTGTTAGTGAAGTTAATATTCAAAATAAACGAGTATATATGCTAGTGATAGTGATTGAAGATAGGTTATAGATTAGATTGTCCAGGGAAAGTTTAGACTGAGATGAAAAGATAGCTTAAGACTGAGCCAACATTTCCATAAAAATTTTAGAATCACATTTTTCATTTCTATAAAAGATAGTGCTAGCGTTTTCATAGGAATGGCACTGAATATATTGAGTAATTTAAGAATAGACATCTTAATACCATAGAGTCTTCCAATCCATGAACATGATATATCTCTCCATTTATTTAGGTCTTTTTTGATTTATAGAAGTCAGTGTTTTTAAGTTATGAGCATACAGAATTTGTATATTTTTGTTAGATTTTACTGAAGCAGTTTGTAAATTTTACTGTTTTTAAAATTTCTATTTCTGTTTTTCTGTGTTTTTCAGTGCTGTTACACAGTACAATCGATTTTTGTACATTTGCCTTATATCCTGGGACCTTGCTAAAATCACTTACTAGATCTAGGAGTTCCCTAGATTTTGTGGGATTTTCTATTTAGACAGTCATGTCATCTAAAAATACTACAAGTTTTTTCCTTTATTTACAAGCCATGTGGTTTTTATATCTTTTTCTGTTTTATATTTTTGGTTAGGACCTCCAGTATGATTTTGTTTTTAATGATAAAATGTACATAACAAAGTTTACTATTTTAACCATTTTTAAATACACAGTTCAGTGGCAATAAGTATACAGTTGACCCTGGAACAACATGTGTTAAGGGTGCTGCTCTCCTGCACAGTTGAAAATATGTGCATAACTACTGTATCCACATTGTTGTGTAATCTTTATCATCCATTTCCAGATCTTTTTTCACCTTCCCAAACTGAAACTCTTTCCCAATAAAGAAGACATCGCCCTTCTCCCTTCCTGAAGCCCTTGGCAATCGTCCTATTTTCTGTCTCCATGAATTTGACTTTCCAGCATTTGTCCTTCTTAAATGGCTTATTTTACTTAGAATAATGTCTTCAAGGTTCATTCATGTCATATGCATGTTTCAGAATTTCCTTTCCTTTTAAGAGTGAATAATATTCCATTGTATGTATATACCACATTTTGTTTATCCATTCATCTGTCATTGGACACTTGGGTTGCTTCTACCTTTTGGCTGTTCTGAATAATGGTGCTATGAAATGGGTGTACAAGTAGCCCTTTGAGTCCTTGCTTTCAATTCATTTTTTTTTTTCTTTTTTTTCCGTAATAGTGATCCAATGTGAATGCGTGTGAAGTGATAGATCATTTGCATTTCTGTAATGATTAATGATATTAACTTTTCATGTACTTATTGGCCATTTGTATGTTATCTTTAAAAAAATGTCTATTCAGGTCTTTTGCCCAGTTTTTAATCAAGTTTTTTTCTTTCATTGTTGAACTGTAGGAGATTTTTTATATCTTCTAGATATTAATTAATCTCTTATCAGATACATGGTTTTCAAATATTTTCTCCCATTCTATGTATTACCTTTAACTCTATGCTAAGTCCTGTGATGCACAAAAGTTTTTATTTGATGAGTACAATTTATCAGTTTTTCTTTTGTTTCCTGTGCTTTTGGTATTATTTTTAAAAAGTCATTGCCAGATCCACTATTAAAAAAACTTTTTTGCTCTGCTTTCTTCTAAGAGATTTATAGTTTTTTCTCCAGTATAATTTTAAATAGGAGTAGTGAGAGTAGACATCTTTGTCCAGTTCCTGGTTTTAGATGGAAGTATTCAGTGTTTGGTTATTAAGCATGCATGATATTGTCAAGACAGGCTGAGGATGTTCCCTTCTATTCCTAGTTGCTCATGGTTTTATGTCATGAATGGACGTTGAATTTTGTTAAATGTTTTCTGCATCTGTTGAGATAATCATATGGTTTTGTTTCTTTAGTTTATTAATAATGTGAATTATGTTGATGAATTTTTCACAGATTGAGTCAACCTTGTATTCTTGGGATACTTCCCAGTAGGGCATGATGCATTATCCATTTTATATATTATAGGGTTGAATTTGGAGCTTCTTGTTGGAAGATTTTTAACTATGAATTCAATTTCTATAATAGATACAGGATTATTTACATATTTCTTTTTCAGTGAGCTTTGGTAATTCAAGAATTTGTATAGTTCTATAAGCTGTTGAATGTATTAAGCATAAAGTTCTTAAACATTATTGCCTTTTAATGTGTATAAGCTCTGTAGTGATATTGCATATTTTATTATTGATTTCTGATCTTTTTAATTCCTTTTGTTTAGAGTTTAATTTGTTCTCTAGTTTCTTAAGAAGGAAGCTTAGAGCACTGATATGAGAGTTTCTTTCCTAATATGTGCATTTAATATAAGCTTTTCTCTACATACTGCTGTAGTCACATCTCACAAATTGACAATGTTGTATTTCCATTTTTCTTTAATTAAAAATATGTTCTAGTTTTTCTCGATAGTTACTCTTTGACCCATAAATTTTTTGGAAATGTGATGTTTAATTTCCAGTCATTTGGGGAAACTTTCTGGGTTCTTTATTTTCCGTTTTGTAGTTTACAGTCTAATTGTATTTTGGTTCAAGAAGATACTTTTTATACTATAAATTATTTATAATTGTTTGATTTCTTTTATGACCCAGAATAAAGTCCAACTCGGTGTGTGCTTCATGTGCATTTGAAAAGAATGTGTATCTGCTGTTGTTGGATGAATTATTCTATAAATGGCAATTATAGAATTGGTGGATGGTATTCAGTTCTAAACAGACTGGTATGTGTGGGGAACCGCTCTGCCTGGTATTCGGGACTGTAGCCCAACGTGAGCAAAGGCTGACGTATAAGTCTCAGCTGGAAAACCAGGAATGCTGGCCAGCAGGTATGAACTGATACAGGCACAGGCGGTCCCCTGGGGAAATCAGGCCTGAAGAAAAATAATGCATTATTTCCTTTGAAGCCTGTCCTGCTAAGAATGTCTTCTAGTTAATCGAGTTAACATACACTAGATGTTTAGGTTCCAAGCATGAGGTTGTCCTGATCACATAGCGCCGTGTTGTCTAACAGACCCTGATTTAAAGAGACCCCTATGTTCTTGCAATTGTAACTTCTGCACAGTATCTATTCACCTTTGATCATCACTATGTGACATTGATTGATGATCTCTATGTGCATGCTGTGTGCTCCCTTACTTG